AGATCTTTCTAGAGGGTTCATGTGTAATCACTATTTCTATGTGATTCCTGTTCAGTCTAGTGTCTGCATCAGCCAGTGAGTCAGAGAAGAAAGTTATATGAATGACCACCTTCTTTTTTATTCAAATAAGATAAGGCTCTGAACCTTTGGTGGTGTCTTCGTCTTCCCCCATGTGTGCCGGGCATACTCTTAGATGTCCCCTGGGCCCTTATATTGCTGGGCTTGCTGTCTCAATTTTAAACACGGTACTCGTTGAAGAATATGTATGCAAGAATATGTAAGTGCAAGAATATGTATGTAACATAGAGATGGGATCCACTCCGACCCCATATATAAGTTAACAATGCAACGGTGATCGGAGCCAAAAGCACGAAGACGAACGGCACATAATGTCTTACTGGTCGTCGGCCGCGATCTGTGCGCGATCGAGTTAGGGTTACTATTAAGCACTTCCTCTCTTAGGTTAGTCAGGTCGGAGCCAACATTGAATGAATAAAGGCACCCCTACTAAAGGTACCGTATTTCTTTGCCAATTATCGCAATAGTGATAACTGGCGCCACGACACGGCTACCAGCTTACTAAGGGGTACAGCAGCGTCATCGTCACTGATCGTGGCCACCGACTGCGGGGGCACCTTTTAAATGACCGCCCGTTGTGGACAGCAACTTGCCGCAACGGGTACGTCAGAACATACAACGTACCCGTGAGCAGCACGTGCCACGGTGGAAACCTCCTGCAATAGCTGCGCAGGTGGAGAATATTGTGGGCAAACACGCTCCCTCAATATCCTCTAACCCTAGCTTTATACTTTATTCTTGAACAGCATAAACAACAGAGTCAATATTGCTATTTCCGTCTGTCCTTGTGAACGCGTGGATCTTGGAGACTACAAGAGATAGAATTATAGGACTTGACATGGAGACTCCTACAATGCCCACGCAGTTTAAGTTTGTTTCAAAACTTAGCCTTCCGACCCCACAAATCGCATAATCCTATAGCGCCAGTTCTGAAAAGCCAAACTATTTCAATATCTAATATATATTAGAAAAACAAAATTCATTCAAATCGGCCGATTTTTAGAGATATATCCATACATGTATATAAAATTTCTCATACAATTGGGCTACAATTTTAAACGCGTGAATCTCAAAGACTATAAGAGATGGAGCAATTTGGAACTTGGGATCGTGTGGTATGCGCGCAGATCAATTTCTGAGAAAATTTTGCTACGCCCACTCCTGTTTCAATGGCTTTTCCAAAAACAACAATCTCGTTGCAACGCCAGTTTGTTTATGTTTTTGGAAAATTTTACGATGCCAAACTGTTCCAATGGCTAATCTTCTGCCACAAAACTCGACTACTCCTCCCACAAAGTCTGGAAACTCGACTCAAGGCCCAAGATTTTATATTGTAATAGTAAATTATGAGGTATAGACTTTTTATTCTTTGAGTAATTTTAGAGATGAGTAGCGGGTGAAATATATTCGGAAAACTCGACTATAGCTGTTCTTTCTTATTTGGAATCTGGCAGGAGAAGGTCCCTTTTTGCAAGAACACAAGCTTTCACCTGCTGTATCGTTTTTACAAAAACAAGAATCCTGTTATCTTGGATGCCTACCTATTGGATGAGAGGTACATCAAGTCCACCCTTCGCGAGATGGAGTATGGAGCGACCGGGCAGTCTTTCGATTCTCCACCACAGTAATCTCCGCGATAAATATTGGTCTCCCATTGCGAAACTAAATGCGTTAAATCTTAATTTTTAAAATCATGCAGTAAGACTAAGCTCTTTTCCTATCGTGGTCCTTTTCTGTTTATTTGCTGTGTCTCGCCTAGAGTCTTGTTTTTATATTCTCGCAGAGGGTATTTGGTCAAAAGTTTCATTTTGGTCAAAAGTGTGCAACGCAGGGAAGGAGACATCTCCAACTACTTAAAGTATTCTTGATCACGATCACCTCCTGAGTTGATAACAGCATGTCCGTCTGTCTGTCTTTGATTTTTAAACCTATCGACTTGAAACTTTCAAACTATAAGTCGGAACGGCCGGGAGCGGCCGACCATATTCTATAGCTGCGATATAACTGATTGATCGGAAATGCTATAACTTTGGTGTTTTTAGAGTTTTTGGCAAAATAATACGACATACCAAATTTCAAAAGGATCGGCCGACTATCTCCTATAGCTGCTATACGAGGTGTGTTCAAAAAGTATGGTGAATTTTTCAAATTTCGCAGGCAACATATTTTTGATTATCGAATTTTTTGTTTTGTTATGTTGGTACACTCTTCCCTAACATCTGTACTAGAGGTCTGCATAAATAGGTAAAAAACGACATTCAAATGCACAACCTTTAAAATGAATTGAGTGAGATAGAATGCTGAGACGAAAATTAATGAATTGATGAGTGCGACTGTGTAGGTCTCACTCGCACAACATTCGGGGAATGAAAACCTAATTGAATGAGTTAGAGTTACAGTTCGCATTCGAATTGTTTCGAATGCATTCTAGAATGTACTATACAACTATGCATATTTCCTATATTTTTAGACGCTGATAATAAAATAATTCAAAAGTGAAGGAAGTCATTGTTTTTTTCAGAAATATTCATTATTATGTTTTACATTTTATTTTACATATTTTACTTATAAGAATGCAAAAATATGTAAGAATGTAAAAATATTTTTAATATTTATTAATAACTACTTTTCCAACAAAATTTTGTCGCTAACAAATTTTTGTAAAATAATTTAATTTGGAAAAACTCACAGGAAAACTAAACAAAAGAAAAATAATAAAAATAAATAATAATAAAAAAAGAAAATAATAACAGTTAAAAACCATAAGTATAAAAGAATTTTATTCATTTATGAAGATGGAAGATGCCTATGACGAGCCGGGAAGATGACAATGACGAGCCTCGCTCTGGACGCCCAAGCACGTCAACAACTGATAATAACGTTCAAGCAGTGAAAAGCATTGTTTTGGAAAATCGTCGAATCACTATTAGAGAAGTTGCTGAAGATATCGGTATATCGCTTGGCTCGTGGCATAAAATTTTTCCACACGTTTTGGGCATGTGTGTCGTGTGTCAGCGAAGTTTGTTCTGAAATTGCTGAATTTTGACTAAAAAAAAAGTCGCATGAGTATCGCTCAAGAGCTGTTAAATGACGTCAACGACAACCCAGATTTACTAAAAAGGGTCATAACTGGTGACAAATCATGGGTATATGGTTATGATATCCAAACCAAAGCCCAATCGTCCCAATGGAAGAGCCCAGGTGAGCCGAAAAAAGCACGGCAAGTTCGATCAAATGTCAAAGTTTTGATCACTGTTTTCTTAGATTACCATGGCGTGGTGCATCAGGATTTCTGACCATATGGTCGTACGGTCAATAATCAGTATTATTTGGAAGTTATGCGCCGTTTGCGAGAAGCTATACGAAAGAAACGTACAGAATTGTGGAAAAAGAATTCATGGCTTTTGCATCACGGTCTTGTTTTTGGCCAAAAATCTCTCACAAGCAAAGGTGAGTGAGCAGGGGCATTAGCTCACTCACCTTTGCTTGTGAGAGATTTTTTGGCCAAAAACAACACCACAATAATGCCTCAGCCATTATTGTGAGTGAGCAGGGGCATTAGCTCACTCACCTTTGCTTGTGAGAGATTTTTTGGCCAAAAACAACACCACAATAATGCCTCAGCCACCACCGGATTTGGCCCCATGTGACTTTTTTTTGTTCCCAAAACTAAAGAGACCTATGAAAGGACGGAGATTTGCAACGATTGAAGAGATAAAGACTGCATCGCTGGAAGAGCTCAAGGCTATACCGAAAAGTGCTTATGGGAAGTGCTTAGAGGATTGGAAAAACTGTTGGCATAAGTGTATTGTATCGGAGGGGATTACTTTGAGGGGATAACATAAATATTGATAAATAAATTAATAATTTTTCTTGAAAATACAAAGTCACCTTACTTTTTTAACACACCTCGTATAACTGAACAATCGAAAATTTACCAACTTCGTGTTTTTTAAGAGACAACTTCGTACAGATTCTAGTATGGTTAATTGATCCGACCTACCAAATTTGAAAACTATGTATCTGCCGATCTGCCTTATAACGAGCTGCCTTATATATTTGGTAAAAATACCAACTTTTGTATTTTTGAAGATAGCAGCTTGGAACATTTTTTTATACCCTTGCAGAGGGTATTATAATTTTGTCCAAAAGTGTGCAACGCAGTGAAGGAGACATCTCCGACCCTATAAAGTATATATATTCTTGATCAGGATCACCTCCTGAGTTGATATGAGCATGTCCGTCTGTCCGTCTGTCTGTTTCTACGCAAACTAGTCTCTCAGTTTATAATAATAATCAGTATATAAGTCGGAACGGCCGGGATCGGCCGACTATATCCTATAGCTGCCATATAACTGATTGATCGGAAATGGTATAACTTTGGTGTTTTTAGAGTTAGGGAGTTCAAATTTGACACGAGAGCTATTTTTGGCAACACATTACGACACGCCAAATTTCATAAGGATCGGCCGACTATATCTTATAGCTGCCATATAACTGAACGATCGGAAATGACCCAAATTTCGTGTTTTTGAAGATAGAAAGCTGAAACTTCGTACAGATTCTATTCTATATTCCGGTTTTAACTGCAAGGGTATATCAACTTCGGCTCCGCCCGAAGTTAGCTTTCCTTTCTTGTTAAATAATGTATTCAATAAAATTCTCATAACGAATTATATCCGATCATAGCTGCAAGGGTGTATGTAGTTATATATACAAGTGTATATAAATAGTCAGCTTTCCTTTCTAGTTGAAATTGTTTTTTAACCTATGTCACTACCTCCATTATTTTTAATCCATTAAATAATTGACCTCTTGCAGAGGGTATTATAATTATATAATTAAATATTTATAAATATATAATATAAATAAATAAATGTCTATATTATTTTTAAACCTTACAAACTATTTTTATTTCTTAGATCCCATTTAACTACGGATAACTACAAGGACAGTGCATCGTGGTTTTCGAAGCTCCTAGTTCGCAAAATAGAACCAACCAAGGAATCCCATAGTCGCATGCTTAGCGATAAGGAAATTATATATGCGTTGCATACCCACAATGTTCGGCCCGACTCTATAAGCGAATATCTGAAGAATTAGTAAGATTTTAATATTTACGAGGGCTCATAATAAACTGTAAACTGTATGTTTAAATGTAATTATGTATGTACTGAAGCTGATATTTTTGTATTTTCTTTCGTTCTATGTGATATTGCATACTGATATTTCAGCTTGATTTTCTCCAGGGGTGCTCAAAGTTGCCCGACCCTTTTCGATAACCGGCAAGTTTCCCAAAATATAGGCCGAGCGTACATCCGCAACGCTTAAGAGGTCCTTAAAAGTTTTGCAAGCTAATTAGAATTGCGAAATAGACCCTTTGAACTTTCAAAAAATTTACGCTTTCCAAAATCTGGCACCTCCGTCTCAGGAACTTTTTAATAGACTCGCGCGTCGAAATGCCATCGTCTCCGACTCCGTCTTCCATCTCGTTTCATTTATCCTGCGTGGCCGGGTCCAGCTTCTGTAGCAGCACCTACGCGATGGCTTATCCTGCAAATTGCTGGTGCCCATGCAAGATAATACCCATGCCCTCATATCGCATCACGGAGTCCTCTCGATGATGAACCTTTGAATGATCCCAAATTCAAAATTTCCCCTACATGCGCTTAAAAAATAAATATGGTGGTTGCTAAACCTCAAACGCCATAGTTATTGTCTGTCAATTCCAGTGAGCGAATTGTTTCTAACTGAATCACGCAAGCAAGCCCGCAGTCACTGGAGTTTCTCAACCAGACCGATGAACGGGTTAGCATTTAGCTGAGAACATCGACCGGAACTTGATACAAGTCTAATAAACTCTGATTCAAGTCCTTCCAATTCTTTCAGCGAAACGCTTAGCATGACATCTGGAATTGCCTTCACCGTGTTTAAAGCCTGACGCATTCTCCCCAAATCCTCCCCCAACATGACGACAAAGCTTTGACGCAGAAACGCGACCCTACTTTGGGAAACTGATTCCATAAAGTTCCAGAATGGACTCCTCTTTAAACGTTAATTTCGCAACGGCACTAAAATAAATTATTTTTGTTTTGTTACCTTCGCCGCCATATAAGATAGATTTTAATAAGCTTCTACCAACGCTACAAGTTGAAATAGTGAGCGCCCTTTTCCAAGGGCATCGGAAATTTCGCTGCCCGAGCTCTGCCGCACACACACAGTATAAACGTATAAAATTTTGTTTCTACTTTCTGCTATTCGTTACTAATACTAATGCATTCAAATTATATCAATCTATTGGGTGTCGACCAACGTCTTAAGGGTTAGAGAATTATGATTTTTAAAATTGCGTCATTTTCGATCAATGAGTTAAATGGCTATAGGATATGGTCAGCCGATCCCGGCTGTTCCGACTTATCATATATCCTATAGCTGCCATATAACTGATTGATCGGAAATGGTATAACTTTGGTGTTTTTAGAGTTAGGGAGTTCAAATTTGACACGAGAGCTATTTTTGGCAACACATTACGACACGCCAAATTTCATAAGGATCGGCCGACTATATTCTATAGCTGCCATATAACTGAACGATCGGAAATGTCTCAACTTTCGTGTATTTGAAGATAGAAAGCTAGGACAGCTGGTACAGATTATATCTTTGGTCAGGTTATCCGGCCTTCAAAATATTATAACGATCGGCCGACTGCTGCCATATAACTGAACGATCGGGAATGGTATTTGGTAGAAATACCAACTTTTGTGTTTTTGGAGATAGAAGCTTGTGACTTTTTTTTAGATACTTTATTGTAATTAATTGGTTTTATTATGATATTTTCCGATGTTTCCGATATATCCGGTTTTAACTGCAAGGGTATATAAACTTTGGCTCCGCCCAGTTAGCTTGTCTTTCTTGTTTTCCCCTATGTTCTATTCACGAGAAAAACTGAAAAAAAATTTGCACAATCCCCCAAATATTTGCACAATCATTCTCCTTCAGAGCACGAGACTTTCTCTTGATTTTGGTTTTCGATTGAGTTTTTTACGTTGAGATGTTCGTAAGATGCTCTCCTACTGAATATTGCATTCACTGAGAGATATGATTGACACCCGCACAGACTCATTAAAGGACCGATTGACCAAAAAAGTCAATTCAAAAAATCTTTTCAACTCTTTATATTAAGGGTAATATATTGTGGCGCTATCCCGCGTGAGCTTGCCGTCATATTTGGTCGGTAATGCGGTGATCAGACAACATGTTACATGGACTAAAGGCTATATATTTGTAAGCTATTAGCCGCCATGTTGTGTCACAGCCACGGTGCAGCCAGAATGAAGTGATGTTCATGCACCACGGAAGCTACAACAACAGCGACGCTGTACCCTCGCCATCACTCGGATCCTATGGAACAGCGGCCTTGATAAATGGATGTAGTTTGTTTTAAAACCGGAGGAATGGCCAATATTCCAGTTTCAGTGGATTACAGCTATCGGTGTACAGCTTTGAAGAACAACCAAGCGCTAGTAAAAGCGATGACGAAAGTCAATTCACTGCTCATTCAACCGAACAACGTACAGCCCGTAATGGAGCTGCTACGCATTCGACATGGACGTCTGAAGCAATTGATTCGGAGTCGACTCCAGAGCGTGCGGGAGCTGCTACCAATTCAGGAGCACAACATAGACTGGATTGTATCTTTCCCTACGAGGTAGAGCAATCTTGTATTGTTTCTACAGTCCGCCGCCAGCGGCGAATCCTAGAAAATCCTGATGGAGGGGCTGATCGCCAATTTGCCCCTAATTAAGAGAAAGTAGATGGGACATCAGGTCCCAAAACGGTCAAGTTTTTTCGTCGAGTTTGTTGGTGAGGGGGGAACGCACATGCATTCGATTCTATTTTTAGAACTCTTTACATGTATCCGTCAACAAAAATTTGAGCCTTTCTATGTATGTGAGACTGCTCGCACGACGGCGTAAAAACGTTTTGGCTTCCAAATTTCTCGTTTCTGTTTTCAATGCGCCGATGTAGTAGTTAGTAGAAAAAATAGTATTTTAAAGCGCTGCAGATCGAGACAGGGTGGTAGCGTAATGTTTAGAGTAGTTACTCAATGTATAAATTTTCTGTGTTCAAATCCTCGTAAGGACTTTGAACTTTTTCTTTCTTTTATAATTATTATTATTTTTTTTTTTATTTTTCTTTAATTTTAAAATTTTTTTTAAATTTTACTATTGTAAAATTGTTTAATTCTTCATTATGTCCGGCTAATTAAATTTCGAGGGAGTCCGTCCGTCATTTTGTAATCCAAATAATAGAATGCTATTAAAAATAATAATAATAAAGTAAATATAAAAAGTTAGAAAAAAAATATTAATAAAAAAGAAAAAAGTAAATATAAAAATAATCATAAATCTAAAACTTTCTCAAAATTGAAACAACCGCCCCACTAATTTAATCAAACCCATGACCCCAAGAATAAGGAGCGCGCACTATTCATCTAGGCTACCCTCAAAGCTGATCTAATGATATTTAAAATTTGTTTTAATGTAAGCGCTAGAATCCATACCAAAAACAGAGCTGAAGATTAAGGATAGTAGAAAATATTTTTGAGGATATATTTCTCTTTGCTATCACACTGGTTTGATGTGAACGTTTCAAACTTTCATCGTTCCAAAGATGTTACGATCTAAAAATATAATTCTTTTTTTCCCTCTCTCATCTGCCAACCGTTTGTCGTGGAACTCGCTCTCAAATGTTTTAATTTTTACGGCGGGTTCCACGACGGAAAAAATGAAAACATTTGAGATCGGCTTCACGATGCGGCCTGCCAAAATGCAGTAGAACCCGCACTTATAGACATTTTTACAACGGGTTTCACTACAAACTGAGACAATGTTAAGGTGTTTTTAAAATTTGGTATTATTTTTGATTGGATTATAAATTTAGAAAAACACAAAAGAAAAAAATATAATATATATTTAAAACAAAAAAAAAATGGATGCCCCCAGCCTGGTTTGAGCCCGTTTTACTTTTGCACATCAACCAAACACGACCACTCGGCTATCCCTTATTAGTTGTCGCGCAAAAAGTTTCTCAAACTTAACTTGTCGCGCTGTGGAACCCGCTCGTTCCAGGGGGTTCCAGCGCTAATAGATAGAATCATAATAGACCGTATTCGACAGTAGGGCGTCTAATCGAGTGGCTAAGTGAGCTCGCTCAGCTAGTATATAGTATATACCATAACGGACGTGAGAGAAGTAAAGTAAAGCGAAGGGTGTTACATGCGAACGCGAATCTACATCTTCCGATGAGAAAAATTAATCGGGATGACATGTGTGAGGCTACAACCGTCACCGGTTATTTATAAAATTCGACTAAATATTAGGTATATATTCTTCAATTCTTATATCGAAAATTAGACCTACATATGTTCTGAAAGTTTTAACCCGGCTCTCCGTGCTTGGTATCGGGTAGCCGCTGTTGCGTTGCAGTGCATTGGCTGCTGGTTGCGCTGACGCTGTACAATATCCGTAGGTGACGCTGGCCTTGGGTTATTTTTGTGACGACTCTGCGGGGTCAGCTTCGCGACTTTTTTTTTGCTGGATAACCGTAATTCCTCCTCCCTGCTTAGATGAAAGACGTCCTCGGTCTTCTTGAAACTGTTAATAACAACTTGTAGGTTATGTTGGACGGACTCGCTTTCGTCTCTGATAGAGCTTTTAAATACAAAAGCCGATGGCCAAAGAGGTGATCGCAGCCGTTCCACATATTATAGGTCCTTTAAACAGTCCCTTATCCATTACCGCCAAACCTAGGAGGGGGCTTTTGAGAGCTAGTCGTCTATAAGCCTCACAGACCAACCTTGCCATCGTTTATAAGCCTCTTGCAGAACCATGCCATGTGCCCGGTTTCAAGGTACGCGAAATAGATCCGATGTTTCTTGAAGAACTTCATCCGCGTGATTGAACTGCTTGCAATCCTTGACAACGTGTTGCTCTTCACACATGCTGACCCCGCATAGTCGTCAAAAAAATAACGCAAGGCTAGCGTCACCTGCGGATGTTGCACAACGTCAGCGCAATCAGCGGGAAATGCACTGAAACGC